TTAAGCAATCCTCAGTTTTTCTATTTTTAGTAGAGACAGGGTCTCGATTTTGCTCAAGCTGATCTTAAACTCCTGAGCTCAAGGAATCCAACTGCCTTGGCTTCCCAGAGTGTAGGATTACAGGCTTGAGCCACTGCCCTAGCCCCAGTTAGCATTTCTTTACTGTTCATTCATGAGGTTTGCAGCTCTTTAGAGTCCCTTACAGAATCTGGGGTCTGTGGAAAATGTACACTGCGGTTAATGACTCAGCACATATGCTCCTCTTTTTCTGTGTGGTAGCAAGCTCACAAGTATTGGTATGATGGTGCTGCTCAAACCGTACACTGTTTAACCAAAGAGCATTGTCTAAGTCGGTCCCATGGTTGACTGCATTGGGTATCAGTCTGATAGGTTAGTGATGTAGCAACTTACAGAGGGCTAGATGTGACCAACCTGTTCATCCCCTGGAACAACCAAGAAGGAAAGACCTAACCCCTGGGCCTCCCTCCACAGTGATGTCTGAACTCAGTGATGAAGCCAGTGAGCCGGAACTCCTGAACCGCAGCTTGTCCATGTGGCACGGATTGGGGGGGCAGGTCAGCCGGGAGGAGCTGGACGTGCCCTTGGATCTTCACACAGCGGCTTCTATCGGCCAGTATGAAGTGGTTAAAGAATGTGTGCAGCGGTAAGAGATCTTGGGGGACTTCCATCTCCTTGAGTTTTAAGTAGCATCTCAGTGCTATATGGTGGGGCTTTGCACACAGTGACACATTTAATATACCTAGTGTAGGTTAACCATGTTTATCTCAGGCAGTTGTTAGTACTAATCTATGCTAGGGACTGACAAAGAAGGCAGTTTTTATTTCTAGGAAGAAAAAGATGATATAAACTTATATCATAGGCTTATAAACATTAATTTATAGTTTGCTTTAACCAGAGTAATTTTATGATTTTCCCTGATAGCAGAAATGCCAAAACAAGCAAACAAAACAAAATAATGATAGAAAGTGATGTCTCGGCTCTGCGCCTATAGCTCAACCGGCTAAGGCGCCAGCCACGTACACCTAAGGTGGCGGGTTTGAATCCCCAGCCCGGACCTGCCAAACAACAATGACGGCTGCAACCAAAAAATAGCCGGGCGTTGTGGTGGGCGCCTGTGGTCCCAGCTACTTGGGAGGCAGAGGCAGGAGACTCACTTGAGCCCAGGAGTTGGAGGTTGCTGTGAGCTGTGATGCCACGGCACTCTACCCAGGGGGACAGCTTGAGGCTCTGTCTCAAAAAAAAAAGAAAGTGATGTCTCTGGCTGCCTTTTCCTGGGGAGTTCATTCTTTTGTCACAGAGGAGGAGGGAGGCCAGGCTTTCAGTTCTCATCTGGGGATGGAGTGGTCTCCTGATTTTACCACCCCCTTGCCATTTTATTGATATATATAGGAATGGTGAGTCCCAGTACAACAAAAGGCCCATGGCTGCATCTTGCTCATGGTACAATGTGATACATAATGTAATTTTTGGAAAGGGGATCTTCTCCTTACCTCCACCCCTTTGTGTTCCACCATATTTTATGCTTACCCTGTTTCCCATTTCTCACTTGATAACTTGGTACAGTGATCTCTGTCCACAGCTCTGTGTGCTTTTTTCAATTCCTGGTGAGCCCAAGCAATGCTTTGTTGAAGCCAGAGGTCTCTAGTTCCCAAGTGGTTCCTAAGTCATGGCCCTCACTTAGATGTACCCAGCCAGTGAAGTACCATGCACCTCAGGAAAGGGTAATTCGTGGCAGTCCTTCAGGTATGCTTTAGCACATCACCTAATAGACTCACCAATACCCCTGTTGTGACTCTGCTCCTTTGAAGTTCTCAGGCTCCTAAATATTTGGATGTCCTCTTAAAGTGCAGAGGAGTCTAGAATGACTCCAGGGAGGAGCAGAAGGGAAGTGTGTGACGGAATTTTGACATTAGCTGAGATGGAGGTTTACTGACCGTAAGCACAGACTGGGGCCCCAAGGGTAGTGGGAGGCATCAAACGGGAGAATTGAGGGTGAAGAGGTGGTGAGAGAACCTCAGAGGGACCCTTTGCTGCTATGTGGAGGAAAGCAATAGGGATGAACTGTGTCCAATCAGGTTCATTCTAGAAGGCATCTCCACATGGCTCCCCCAGCCAGTGTCTACCACCGTACTCCCAGTAGCAATGGCTACCGACGCATGCCCCACAGAGTCAGTGGGAGATGCTAGTGATTGGAAAGTAATTGCCTGGTATAGTTTAATGTGTGTATCTAATCAGAGGTACAAATGGTGTGGTTCGATGGTCAGTTTTACTGCCACTGGAGTCAATGATTATGGAGAAGGAAAGGCCTGTGAGGTGTTAACTGTGCGAGATGCTCCTAAGAGTGGATGTTATTTTCAAATGTGGCTCCTTTACCCCAACCCCAAAGTCTGGGCTGGGAAGCCCACATTTTCTTTATTCCTATAGGTAAATTCATTTCAGAATTTTAATGGAAATATGGGATTCTTTGGTAACAAATTTGCTGAGAATATTTCTGTAGGGTGAAGTAACAAAGGAGAAACCAGTTGCAGTTCAGCTTGTCCAGCATCTGAGTCCTTCCTCTTTCCTCCTTGTCCTGTCCATCCAGCAGTGGATTAGCAGACTCGGGTCACTTAGTGGTACACGATCAAGACTCAGGTCAGGGTTCTCAGCCTTGGCTTTGTTGACAATGCAGCCAGATCATTCTGTGCTGTATGTGGCTATTCTTTATACTCTAGCATGTTTAGTGGCATCCCTGGCCTCCACCTGCTGAATTCCAGTAGCTCTTCCCTCCCTAGTTGTGATAACCAAAAATGTCTCCTGACTTTTTCAAACATCCCCTGGTTGAGTACCATCTAGCTAACTGGTGGCGTGAAAGAAGAGCATTAAATTGCTGGCCTTGGGCTAGGAGGAGGGCAGATGAGAATGTGAAGTCAGAGGAAGTCAAAGGCTAAGGCCTTCAAAAAGGCAGTCATACAAGCAACTGTAAGCATTTCCCTGCCTGCCTTTCCCCAACCCCAGTGACATCCAGGTTGGCAGATAATTTCTACTTTCTGTCAACTTGTTGTACTGGCTTTGGTAAACCCTGCAAGTGAGATGGTTGGGCATGTCTAGCGTATCTTGCATTTGTTTAGGAGAGAGTTAGATTTGAATAAGAAGAATGGTGGTGGCTGGACCCCGCTGATGTATGCCTCCTACATTGGACACGATACCATCGTGCACCTGCTGCTTGAGGCGGGGGTGAGTGTGAATGTGCCGACCCCAGAAGGGCAGACTCCACTGATGCTGGCCTCCAGCTGTGGCAACGAGAGCATCGCCTACTTTCTCCTCCAGGTGAGCTACGAGGGGACTCAGGCCCAGAAACTCGAGGGGCTCCCCCAGCTGCTCTGACAGAGACGTGAACCACTGCAGCCATGGTGTACGTGTGTGCTCGTGTAATCACATCTGGTTCTTTCAGCATGCTGGCCTTGAGGGTGCCTGCCCTGCACAGACGAGATGAGGCTGTAACACACATTCTGTGTTCTTTTGAAGCAAGGTGCTGAGCTGGAGATGAAAGACATTCAAGGCTGGACTGCCCTCTTCCACTGCACTAGTGCTGGGCACCAGCAGGTGGTCAAGTTTCTTTTGGACAATGGAGCGAATGCCAACGTGAGGTGATCACCACATCAGAGGTGGCCATAAGAGTGGGCTGGGTCTTGTCTGATGCTAAGGAAGGCAGCTCTAGGCAGCTGACCAGAGTTCAGGGACACCCCTGCTTTGACATGAGACTTTCTTATGTCAAAGAAAGGGGCAAAACAGAGAGAATCCTGCCCTGGCACAGAACTTCTCACCTGTTTCCAGGCAACATTGGGTGCATCTTTTCAGGCCCTCAGACCTTCATTTTATCTGACAACCAGGGATGAGTTGGGTCTGTGTCACAGAGCTGTTAAAAGAGTTACATGTGGGCTGGGCATGGTGGCTCACGCATGTAATCCTAGCACTCTTGGAGGCTGAGGGTGTATTGCCCTGAGCTCACAGGTTCGAGACCAGCCTGAGCCAGAGCGAGACCCTCTCTAAAAATTGCCAGGCATTGTTGTGGGCAACTGTGGTCCCTACTACTTGGGAGACTGAGGCAAGAGAATCGCTTGAGCACAAAAGATGGAGGTTGCTGTGAGCTACGATACTATGGCACTCTACTGAACATGACAAAATGAGACTGTCCCCCCCAAAAAAAAAAAAAAAAAAGAGTTACACGTGTCGTAGGCCAGGGGCCAGCCATAGCATATGGCATTTAAATGGCATGCATTAAGTGTTAATACCTTCCTTTGTCTTCCTTTTATATATATCAGGTGAGGTGATGCTTTGAAAACCATCATGAGTTTTATTTTTATTTTATTTAATTAATACTTATTTTTTGAGATGAGCTCTCTTTATGTTGCCCACACTGGTCTTGAACTTCTGGACTTAGGCAAACCTCCTGGCCTCAGCCTCCTGAGTTCCTGTGGGTAGCTGGGACTATAAGCATGCACCACTGCACTGGGCTCCAATCTTGTGTTTTATAAGCTGGCAGTGATACTGTTTGTTGTCTAAAGCATGTCGTGATGATAATCCCCTTTCACGTACCAACACAGGATCCACCTGATACTGTTCACACTCCCCTGGCTGATATCATCTATTTTAAGACACCAGAAATTCAATGCTACCAATAATACTCAACTCACTGGTTGATTTAAAGACAAATTCTTCAGAGATGTCAAAATATAAAAATATCTTAGAATGGCTGAAAACCAGCATTCAGCATGATTCCTGACTTCTAGACTAGCATGAAACAAGTCAGAGTTAGAAAACCCTGTAAAGACAATGCTGAGTTAGTGATAAGCAAGCCCGAAAACTAAGATTCAGGTAGTAGGCATAGTACAGACAGATTAGACTATTGGTGCTTGAGATTTTCAGAATAGCTTTATGGAGGATGTTGAAAGCTAGGATTTGGATAGATGGTTAGGAGGCATTGGCTTTCTGTGAGGAATGAAGAGCCAAAGCTGACTTTTGAATGTGACTAAAGGAGAGATTTAGGAGATAGCAAGTAGCAACAGCCTAGAAGGAGGGAAGATAGGGAACCAGAGCTGCCTTTAGACAAAAGACCAATGCTGGGGATACACATCAAAAGAGTTAATGAACTTAATGTATTAACTTTTCTTATCTCAACCTCATTAATGATAGGTGACTGGTGCATTGGCTAGATTTTGTCTTCAGCAGGGCATTTTTGCCTGGTAGACCTTCTCTCTGCTAACCACTTGACTGTGACCCTCACCTTACAGGGAGCCAACATACGGATTTACTCCTTTGATGGAAGCAGCTGCTGCTGGTCATGAAATAATTGTGCAGTATTTTCTGAATCATGTAAGTGGCCCTGTTTATTAGCTTGTAATTTAGTCACCACAAATGAGGAATCACATTACTGAAGTATAAACTATAACAGAATTTTCCTTTATGCAGAAATAACTGTTTTTTATGTATTAATACATTTTCTTTGAGTATCTGTTGATGCCAAGTGTTGAGGCATTTTAATTACAGTGGTAAATAAGAATAGATAACCTATTCCTAGGTAATAATTTTGAAAAAACTGTTATTTCAAAAGTATGGAAAAGTATTTTAAATAGCAAATGGCACTCGTAGTCTTAACGTTAGAAAAGTTATGTAGAATAAGAAAGCAGAGATCTTTCAATCTTTTTCAACCTTCTGCTGCTCCTTGAGATGCCTTCTTGGTTTGATAAAGAACTGCCCCAGGACTTCTCCTCTGCTGTCTAAAGCTGTGTTTGTAGATAACTGCAAACACACTGCTTTTTTGTTTTGAACAAAAAAGGAGTTTCATGTATTTTTGTTTTGTAACTTTCATTTTTTATTTTTCTTCGAGACTGTCTCACTTTGTTGCCCTTGTTAGAGTGCTATGGTGTCATAGCTCACAGCAACCTCAAACTCTTGGGCTCAAGCGGTCCTCTTGCCTCAGGTTTTTACCTTTAGTAGAGATAGGGTCTCATTCTTGCTCAGGCTGGTCTTTTTTTTTTTTTTTTTTTTTTTTTTTTTTTTTGAGACAGAGCCTCAAGCTGTCCCCCTGGGCAGAGTGCCGTGGCATTACAGCTCACAGCAACCTCCAACTCCTGGGCTCAAGCGAGTCTCCTGCCTCCGCCTCCCAAGTAGCTGGGACCACAGGTGCCCGCCACAACGCCCGGCTATTTTTTGGTTGCAGCCATCATTGTTGTTTGGCGGGTCCGGGCTGGGGATTCGAACCCACCACCTTAGGTGTACGTGGCTGGCGCCCCAGCCGATTGAGCTATAGGCGCCGAGCCCTCAGGCTGGTCTTAAACCTAAGAGCTCAAACGATCCACCTGCCTCAGCCTCCCAGAGTGCTAGGATTATAGGTGTGAGCCACAGCATCTGGCTGTTCTGTAACTTTGTAACAAATGACTTAATATATTACAGATTTCTTATCCTCCTGCAGTATTCAGTCTGTATTCAGTGCTGTAATTAATTAGTTCCTTAATACTAGAAATTTCATCTCTAACATTTTGCAATTATAAACAGTGCTCCAGGGATTATCCTTTTATGTGCAGCTTTAGTACACTTGCAGTTATTTCTGTCTGTTGTGTTTCTACAAGAGGCATTGCTGGTGTTCACCTTTTTTGTTGTTGCTGTTATTGAGACAGTCTTATTCCATTGCCCAGGCTAGAATGCTGTGGCATCGCTGTCAACAGCAACTCAGACTCCTGGGTTCCCCTCCCCTCCACTGGGTTCCCATACTCTCCCCTCCTGAGCAATCTTCCTGCCTCAGCTTCCTGACTAGCTGGGACTATAGGCATCCACCACAACAGTTGCCTAATTTTTCCATTTTTAGTAGAGATGGGGTCTTACTCTTGCTCAGGCTGGTCTTGAACTCCCGAGCTCAAGCAGTCCACCTGCCTTGGCTTCCCAGAGTTCTAGGATTACTGGTGTTTCACATTTAAAATTTAATAGGTCTTCACTGAGCATAGTGACTCATACCTCTAACCCCAACACTTTGTGAGGACAAGGCAAGAGGATCACCTGAGGCTAGAAATTCAAGACCAGCCTGGGCAACATAGTAAGACCCTATAGTTTTTTTTTGTTTGTTTGTTTTTTTTTGAGACAGAGTCTCACTTTCTCGCCCTTGGTAGAGTGCCGTGGCAGCATCACACTGCTCACAGTAACCTCCAGCTCTTGAGCTTAGGTGATTCTCTTGCCTCAGCCTCCCAAGTAGCTGGGACTATAGGCGCCCACGACAACGCCCAGCTATTTTTTTGCTGGGGTTTGGCCAGGGCCAGGTTTGAACCAGCCACCCTCAGTATATGGGGCTGGTGCCCTACTCACTGAGCTACAGGCACTGCCCAAGTAAGACCCCATCTTTAAAAGAAATTTAATACGGCCTAATAAAAAGTAACTAAAAGACAAAAGAGGCAAAAGGTATGAATAGATATTTCTCCAAGGAAAATAAACAAGTAGCTGATAAGCATATGAAAAAATGCTTGGCATCATTAGTTATCACAGAGATGCAAATCATAATTAGTAGGATGTCTGTAATAAAAAAAACAGACAATAACAAAAATTGGACTCTTCATATACTGCTGATGGGAATATACAGTGGTATAGTCTCTTTGGGAAATAGTTTGACAGCTCCTCAAATGGTTAAACCTAGAGTTAACATGGAACTCAGCAATTTCATTCCTAGGTATATTGCCAAAAGGTTTGAAAATATGTCTACACAGAAACTTGTACACAAATGTTCATACCAGTATTATTCATCATAGCCAAAAAGTGAAAACAACCCAGGTGGCTATCTACTGATGAGTGGATAAACAAAATGTGTATCTATACAGGAGAATATTATCAAGCCATATAAAGGAATGAAGCACTAAATGTACTACAGCATGAGAAAACATTGGGCTCAGTGGAAGAAGCCAGACACAACAGGCCACACGGAGTGTAGTTCCATTCGTGTGACATGTCCAGGATATGGAGAGCCACAGAGGCAGTAGATTAGTGGTTGGGGACCTGAGGGGGAAAGTGGGAATACTGGGGAGGGGGCGATGGCTAAAGGGTAGAAGATTTCTATTTTGGGGTGATAATTTTTTTTTTTTTTTTTGAGACAGTGTCTTGCTCTATCACCCTGGGTAGAGAGCAGTGGTGTCATCATAGCTCACTGAACCTCAAACTCCTGGGCTCAAGCAACCCTCTTGCCTCAGCCTCCTTAGTAGCTGGGACATGTGCATTAGTAGACAGGGGATCACACTTTTGCCCAGGCTTGTCTGAAACTGCTGAGCTCAAGCAATCCACCTGCCTTGGCCTCCCAGAGTGCTAGGATTACTGATGTGACCTACCACATCCAGCCCAAGTGTTATAATTTTCGTACTGTTTTTTCCTTTTTCAAAATGTGTATACATTCTCTTGGCACCATCTGTATACTTTTTTGGCTGTTTGTATTTTGTTTATGAATTGTTCTCAGCCCAATTTTCTTTTGAATAGTTGGATCTTTTCTCACTTTTTGGTGGGAACTTTATGAATAATGTTATTTAAACATTGTATCTCTTTTGAAAAAAGAATTTGGGAATAGAACATGCACATGCTAAACATGCAGATGTGGCAGAAGGGGTTACTGTGGGCCTGCCTCCTGCCCCTGTGCCTGGGTCTCCTTGTCATCCTCTGCATAGGAGAATCTGCACAGGCCCTTCTGCGGCCTTGGTGTCTCTGCATTTACACCCACATGCCTGTGCATGGTACTACCTACACACAACTGCTTCCCCCTTGCTTTTTTCTCAAACTTAACAATTATTCTGTGCCAGCATATAAATAGCTGTCTCTTTTTATTTATGATAGCATGTTATTCCTCTATAGGATGAATCAAATTTATTTTAGCAGTGGTCTTCATGTAGAATTCAGTCATTGCCAGCCACTTGGTATTCTGCATAGCATTGCAGACTATCTTTGCACATATGTCTATAAATGCATGTGCAACCACATCTCTATCATGCATTACTGAAGGGAGAAGTTTTTGGTAAAGTGTAAGCACAATCTTTTTTTTTTATGTATACATGTGTTTATTTGGTATCCACTTTTTGCCTTTACAAAATTAAAAAGGCTTAAAATTTAATAACAATAACAATGTTTAAGATAAGGACTAGAAACCAAAACCTAATAAAGAACAAATGAAGATAAATACATTCAGAAAAGAAATCAGATGATTGCTGCAATGAAATATTGAGCAATAATAATAATGCAAAAAAAGTAATATTCGCATTGTCAAATAAGAGTATGTCTATTATAGAATGCTTTGACTGACGTTCAGTATGGAGTCATCAGTTAACATCTTATTTTTTTTCCCCAAAGTCTCAAAAAATAGACAACTAATATTTATAAATAAAAATAAAAGATAATTAAAAAAAACAGGTCATGCCTAATCTTATAGACAATAAATAGAAAAAGAAGAAATACTTCAAAATCATTTACTTCATCTGGATACACCTGATATTAAAATTGGAAAAAGATATATTATAAAGGGAAATTACAAAAATATTTCACTTATAAAAGAGGATGTAATATCCTAAACAACATATTAACAAGTTGAATTAAAAATTAATGTTTA